TATGAATATTATCCAGGAGTAATATACATCAATGGATTCATTATGGCTTTGACTACCTTTAAATAGCAAAATTTGCAAAAATTAATGCTGATTGAATTATAAAATACCTAAAAACCACAAGCAGTTCTTGATTTCTCCATAAGCCGCCGTGTTACAAAATGCCGTTGGGTTCACAAATGGTTCACTATTTTCGGAGCACACGCGGCTCGGAAACGCCTGTTCATGGATTGGCTTCATCGCCGCTCCAGTACTTTGCGACTCTATTGTACTCTATGAACTGAACGAAGAATAGTATTGTAATACTATTATATACCGTTATGCGGGTCTTGAGTGAGTCATTTTTTAAAAAAATATTGATTCTAAATGTTTGAATTGTCCAACTTGCGGCGTAAATCCACCAAGATCTCGACAGTCAGACCTGAAGTCTCAACTCTCCAAGCGAGATTGCTAATGCCTATTCGTCTCGGCAGTCTACTGTATAATTTTCAACGGCGATTTTAAAATTTATACGATTTACATCCAATGTCCCGGATGAAACTTGTCTCGTAAGTAGTGATGACTCTCACAAGTGGTGATTTACTAAGCAACTTCGAGCCAATCACTTTGCTCGACGAGGGAAAAAGATAGCAAAGCTTATCGTGCTGCGAAAATGCTGTCGATTTGGCCAATTTCAGGTCTACCAAATTGCTTCAACCTGCGTGCTATTAACAATCATGTATTGCAACGCTGTGCCCATGCGATGGAGAAATTTTCCTGGAAGAATTTTTTTACCTCAAAAACTGTGTATAACTTGGACTCCGGAGGACGTGTTCCAAGAACGTTCAAATTAAACATCTATCACTTCCATCATCACCTCCCAAAAAAAAAACCTTTTAGAGAATGGATTTTCCCGACTTTCCTATTTTCTTGCAACTACACACTCCTCTCAAGATACTGTGTGCGCTGAAACCTTAAATTTCAATGAACCTTGGCACGTTTAAGAATGACAGGCACTCATTTTTCGTTTCAATTATTCCTAAATTTGCGATAAATGTATCGGATATAATGATTAAAATACTACGCAAGTATAAGTTGTCAAAAATGTGGAGTGGTGTTTGAGCCACAAGACTCGGAATTGGCTCTATTTTTTTCTAATCAAGGCGATCTATAGAACAGCCTACTTATTTTAAAACAATTGAACCTTGGGCCAAATCATCTTTCATGAATATAATGGTAAAAAATATAATGGTGAACTACCGAGATTTTCTTATTTGCAGGAGATTCTCATTGTTTGTTTACTTTCCAAAGAAGATTACTTTGACTACAGTTTTTTATTGGTTTAAAATCTTCACGAACTATATCTATACAGGGTGGGCATAGAGTAACTGAAAAGTGTCTGTAACTTTTGAACAAAATGAGATAAAGGGTTCCGGTTTGGACCATTGCTCATTGTGGCAAGGGGCGGGGGGGGGGGGTTGCCATTTGAAAATCTCGAGTTGCCCCATCAATGAGCCCCCCTGATAAAATCAGCCCCTTGCCACAATGAGCAATGGTCCAAACCGGAACCCTTTATCTCATTTTGTTCAAAAGTTATAGACACTTTTCAGTTACTTTATGCCCACCCTGAATATTTTGTTTGACATACATAGAATTATCACTAGCTTAGTTTCCTATTATTAAGTCCTTCAAAGGTCGCAGTAATACAACTGTCGTCACAAAAAATTAATCTTACCTCTCGACGTTCAAACGTCCCAACTTTCCTGTTTGTACTGTACAGAACAGTTAATTCTTTGTGATCTTTCGATAAAACTCACAAAATGCACCACAAGTCAATTTCACAACCATACCGCACTAAAGGCAGTCAATTTCTGGCCTGAAAAAAATGAGAACTTGCAGTTTTATTCAACGATTTACTTTTACAAATACCGCATATTATCGGCGGACTTTCCCCTCTACGCTCGAGATTAAAAAATCAAAAACACTAAGAAATGGATCGTCTTAGTTAAATGTGCTATTTTTCTCGTGAAGAATGGGCTCATTTAGTATTCTTTGGGTCATTTATACGCAGCATTAGTCCATATTAACTGCCCCTGTGGATGATCGACCAAAACTTGGATTTTTAACTTACCTTTTTGCAAATGAGAGACTTAGTCTGCATTTACATTTATTCTACCGAGCACTGACCCTCCACACGTGCTGCATTGCGTCTGCGGAGATCGCAGAGCTCATTTGTGCAAATTCGGTAGGCCATAGCCAGTGTCACAAGATCAAACCGTGATATCAATATACAGGTGTTGTGATTGGCTTACTCGGTGACTTGGACCAGTCCCACCATTTGACCCTGATATATTATTAACACGGTTTGATCGTGTGACAAGAACTTTTGGATTGGTCAGCGAAACGTCAAAACAGTTAATTGATACATATCTGTAGGGCGTAAATGGTTATCATACATCGACGGCGTAAGTCCGCAATCACATATCACAACAAATTGACATCATTCCTTGAAGTTTACGCAGAATTTTCTTCGCACAGAGAAGAAAAATCACGGCAGTTTTAAAAAATTGCCGTTGAGTAGTTTTCCGTAAAAAAAACGAGAAAGTAAAAATATGACAGGAAGTCTGCGACCTTGCAAACCGAGTCATGTGATCGCCGACTTACACCGTCGATATGTATGCTGTGTGAAAATGTAGGCTGTCCTGCAGGGTGACTTTATTTTTAGTAAATCCTACGGTAAATTCTAGGATGGGTAAAGTGTAGTAACAGGAACTGTAAATTGTTTAGTTATTTGAGGGATATTACATGGAAAAGAGTTAGGGGTTGTTTTTGTAATTTTTAGGAAAACTTTTTTTAAAATTGACTAATTTCAGGAAATTAGCTCATAACACAAATGAACGTAAAGTTCGCAAATACTGAGGGGATACATGTTGCCGAGGTTTTCTATTCAGTATATTCCAGACAAAAGGACCCCGCACACTCCTTATGGAGATGTGCACCACGATCGATTTTAATTTTTTTATTGATTCAAATTCGTCTATGGATGCTGCTCAAACGGCATCATTGCGCCAACTTTCTACGAGGCACCGTTTTCGCATAATTTGCGGACAAGTTTCGATAATTCCTTGCATAAATGAAGTGCAGTACTCGCGTAAGTTTAGGGTCGGTTGGGTGAATGTAAATAACGTAAACAGGAAAACTGATCAGCAGCCGTTTTATCTCGGACTCCACAAGCCTTTTCTTATCACTGTCCAAATCAGTTATTTTCTCTCATTGTCCTTACCAATCAGGCACGCACTGCGTTTTGAATTTAGCCGGCCTGTCCTGGAAATTACCGAAACGTCAATTGCGGATTGTGCAAAAATAATGGCTTATAGAAAGTTGGCACAATGATGACTTTTGATCAGCATCCATAGACGAATTTAATTCGATAAAAAAATTAAAAATTGATCGTGGTACACATCCCCATAAGGATAAGAAGTGTGCGGGGTCCTTTACTAAAAATGAGAAGTATCTCAACGTATTAAAAAATGTCTATGAAATCCCCCATAAGTAACATTGCTTATTTACTAGGTCACAAAGGCCTATTCAGACATGTGACATCATTTCAGATCAGAAGTTTAATCAATCGGTTATGTTGTCCCCAAAAAGAAAATAGCTTCTTGAGAAGCTTTTAGGGTTTGAATTTTGCACCTGATTTAAGTATATAGGATTCAGAAATTTAGACCCTAGTTTGTGAAATTTTCAGGTACACAATTTATTTTTAGACTGATGTTGAATGAAGGGAACCTAGCCTCGTTAATGGTCGGATGACAGAATTGAGATAAAGAGGTTTAAAGTTTCATTTCTCCATAAGATTGTATGTTTAAGATGGAGTTTAACGTGTTTTTGCATTAGAAATATTTTTTCGATTTTGAAGTACAGATTTGACGACGGATTAAAGGCGAAACATAAAATGTTCTTCCAAAATCCGACTTATTTCAGGATTCTTATGGCTAATTTTAATTAATTTTTACTTTTAATTGGTGTGATAATGACTTGGGCGACCGGCCACAACGTTCCGAGTTCATCCTAGTGGGTAATAATTGTTATAGCCTTTTTCCCCATTTTCATTGCCTTCCTATTTTTATGATACGTGTCGTAGTATCACTATCACTTCATACATGCAGTCATTATAATGAATGTAATAATTATTTTTTTTTTAAAAAATTCCAAAAGATCTAGATTCTCGCGGCTTATTGGAGAAAGCAGTCCTTTTTCTGTGTTTGAATAATGCAAGACCTTTAAAATTTTAAGTTCATTTCAATACTTCAAATTTTCTTTCTTTTATTCATCCAGTTTAAAAATCATGTAGAAGTTGAAGCGGATGTTTTTCTTCTCTGCAGAACTTCCATGAATATTCGCTGGAATCAGATATCATCATGTAAACTCGAGCAGAACTTGGGAAACCAATAAGTTATGACGACGAAACTTGTCACTTTAAAATGTCGAGCACATATTCTGTTTTATCGGTGATTCGTGAATATCTAAACGGCGATGACTAGAAAAAATTTGCGTCGTAAGTGAACACAAGTGGGATTGATATTTAAGATCGGTAACGGTAACGCAGAAGATAACGCCAGCGGTCACGGTAACGTAGACGATAACGCCAGCGGTAACGGAACGGAAACGGTGTCGACAACGGAAAGGAAACAGAAAAGGTAAAGAAAGGGGAGCAATAACGGTGCATAAGAAAGAAAAGAAAAAGTAAATAAGAATAAAATTGATGGATTTACCTAAAACGTGCGGTTGAAAGTAAGTGCTCAATGACTAAATGAGAGTAATGCGAGTACACATTCCTCTCTTTAATCGAGAATAGTGATCAATTTAAAACATTTAAGATCCTTCGCCTCCATGTTATTCTTCGTTACAAGGAAATACTCCAAAGAAGTTTGCTGGAACCAGCTATAGCCAAAAAGGGTGAAGATGAGGAAAATCAATCAATAAAAGTAATGAAGGAATGGAAATGAAGAAGAATGGGGGACAGGGATAAAGATGGAACCATCAGTATACTTAATTTGTATTTGAAATTTCTTTATGATATACAACGTAGGCAGTCGTTGAAATAGAATGTGATATAGCTAATTTTTAGATTTTGATAGTATCGTCGAGTTGTTCTGAGGAAGCGAACATAAAACATTTATTCTGAGGGGTTGAAACAGTTATATATTTGACTTTAATTTGGTATGATGAAAATGCTTTGATTGTAAAATGATGGCTATGAATAAGCTGTCTGGTAAATTGAAGTGCCCGTTTTTCGTCCCGAAATGGGTTTTAGATATAACGAGTCTTTAGCTGTAAATCATTCATTGGAAAAGAAGTCGCTTGGACCTAGAGTCACAACTCTCAGAACCATTGCCTGTGAAAAAAAATCTTGATTCAATCAGAGGAAGAAAGTAAAAATCACAAGGAAAAAGGAAAAATAAAGGAAATCCGCTTAAATTAATAAGCTTGGCTGTACCGATTCAAGCAGAAATCCGATCGAATCAAGAGTGTTTTTCATTATTAATGTTCTTAAGAGTCTGGGCTCCAGAATCAAGCGACGCACGTTTTTCCTTCGTTCTCTAATGACGTGTACACCGAGGATTGAGCTTGCAACCAAGCCTTTTAGGCTCAGGTTGGTGGGACTGAGGTCAATAAAGTGCCTTTACGCGTCATCACGCCATTGTTTTGCGCATCATTTACCTGGATAAAAGCACAGGAGAACAGTACGGAGAACTAAGTGTGTAGATAACGGCACATAGGTACCACGCGTTGGCTTGCGTTCAACTTTAAATTGTAAGGCTCGGAGTTAAAATAAAAATTTCGCTCACAGTTGAAGACAACTTTTCTAGTGCAGAGTGTGTGTTGGGCATTTGCGCTGCAGAGACGATGTCAGAGCAAATGGATCTCGTGTGCTGCCTATTTTTGCTGGTAAGTAACAAAACCATGTCAATTTAGTATATCGATTAATAATAACTATTCAGCTAGGAAGTTACTTTTTAGGAATTCAGAGATATGAGTATTTAAACTCCAATTTTAGATTTTAATGATAGGGTATTTGGGAATTCTTTTTTTATCTTGACTGGAATGCACGAATTACGTGTAACAATCGGTTTAATTTTTCTAATTTCAATGATAAGACAGTTAAATAGAAAAAAAATTAGATTAATGTACTTATATGGATTTGAATATTCTATTTCGTACTCACATCTTGTTGATATCATTTGACTTTGTCTTTATCTTTCTGCCTATTGATTAAGAATATGATGATAATTATGGTACCTAATCAAGGCAAGACTTATTAGATATTTCACTGTTTGCCTTGAAAATTTATTGAGGTTAAAGGTTTGAGTAGCAGTTCTATCTTCTATGGTTAAAATGTATTCGCCTGTGCAGAGAAACATCGAAACGGTTTAGTTTTTGAAAAATCCAGGCTCCAAACTTATATGCCGTCCGTGAATTCTCAAGATGACATTATACTTGGAAAACGTGCTCGGAAAATAATATTTAATTAGTACATGTTGGGAGCCTAAACTTGACTCGAAGGGTGAAACTTCATCGAAGGACATGCAGGTATTACACTGTGTAGAAATTCATCTGTCGGCCTTAATATTTAGGATCTATACAGGTGTAAAAAGAAAAAAAAGAAAAAGAAAAAAAGATAACAATGTGCATCTGACTGTTTTAGCCAATAATTAATAATTGCAAATCATACTCCTTCAGCACAACAAAATAAATACGTGCAACAACATTCTACCCTATTCACTTCGAACTATAATAATTGTCACTAACCACTTGGATGAAACTTGTTTGGCTAAGAAGCTTCACTTAAATGATCTCTGAAATCGCCTAAAAATTACGTGCTGATTGGACATGAGAGGAAGAAAAGAAATGAAGAAAGAAAATCTCCTTAAAAGAAATGAAGTGAGAGCAGCGATTTTTACCGTAACATTGTCGATATAAGGATTGAAATAAACGTAATGAAATTTGATCCTGCAAGGACGTTAGATCGGTAAAATTTTTAATATCATGTCTTTCGTAATAATTAAAACATCCTTATTTTCACGGTTAGGGGGAAAAGTAATGGAATTGGTTTATAAAAGTCGACGGGGATTTTGACGCACCAGAGGTTTGGGCATGGAAAAGTATACGGTCCTAGTATGCTTTTAGTGAAACTGTCCTAATGTTTTTTTCTCCGTACAGTTTTCAAAACGCAAGCACCCCCTCCTAGCAAGATTCGCACTCCCGAAAATTCGTCGTTTTTCTCACGAAAGATTGTAACTCCATTTCAACGTTACCAGATTTTTCTTCGCAAATTTCATGTCTTAACCTAGGAAATCTTGGGCATTTTCAACTGAAAATTTCACTCGAATCTCAAGAAAAATTCAGACAAATTTTGGATACAAATTGCACAGGTACATTTTTGTGAACAAAATCAATTGTTTGAGTCAATTCGGCAACCTTGGAATGGAGTTACGCTCCTTTATCCCGGAGACGACGAATCAGGGCATTGTCGCCGATTAATCTAGGTATTCCTACTCATAAAACTTTAATAAAAGAATGCCGGTGGATGAATTTTAAAGGCGAGTCAGCAGTTTTTGTTTTTCTGAGTTATCGTTTCAATATTTTACAGTTTTCAATTGCCAACGGCCTCGAAATATCAGGGACAACAGCAAATGTGGACAGGGAGCTAATCTTCGACATTACAGATACACAGCTGGTAAGTTTTAGAAGTTAAGTTTAAAAACTAATCAGCACTGTACTCGCGTTTTCTTTTACACTCAACCAGCCTGTATGAGACTATCTTGTCCACATTCTTCCTACACTGCTCAACCAAAAAAAAAAAAAAAGAAAAAAAAAATGAAAAATGTAGTGATAAAGAGAATCTTATGTATTTTGAGGCGCTGAATCTGAATAAGATCTCCGTTTTTTTCTCATCGCCCTCCAATTTTCCGGAAAAGCCGATTTTACTTGGAAAAATGGCAATTTATGGAACTGTAGGAACAAGGGGATCAAAGGGATGGAATAACGACAAGCAGGTATGCAAGAGATCAGAGGAGCATGTATGTAAGTGAGGAGAACAAGAAGGCAAGTGAAAATTGTGCAGGGTTATTTTTGTGTTTTTGTGACTGTTATCCCTGCGGAATGTAGGTAAAATTTTTCTCAGATACTATATAAGACTATTCTGATGTATTTTGAGCCGCTGAGTCCGAAAATGACCTCGTTTCACCCCTATCACTTCTCAATTTTCAGGAAAAAAACGGACATAAAGTGTATTAAACATATACTTTTAAATTGTCTCCGATGTGTGATTCAACATCCGTCCTTATTTATTTCAAGCTGCTAATTTTTAATATTATCTCAGATTTTTCCCACTATTTTCCCTCAAAAGTTGATTTTCCTTGGAAAACGAGCATTTTTTATATTTTTGCGACGATTTTCCTATTTAAAGGAGTTTTAGAAATTTTCCGAGATCCTCTTCAGGTCTTTCCTGATGTACATAGGGTGTCCCAAAAGTACTGCCCCTTTTTCCGCAGAGGGCGAAAGAATGCAGATATCAAAATGCGGTTTGTGTGAGGTTATAGTCCTAGTAATTACCTATAAAACAAGACCAAGTTGAGCTCTGTAGCTTAAAATTTGACCGAGATATAGCATTTTGAAAATGACGTGTCAAGGTGCCGCCTACGAGATTTTCAACATTTTTTACGAAAGAAAAAACCAAGTTTAAGAATGAAACGGTTTTAAAAAGAAGAAGAAGCGGCCAGAAACATATGGCAACACTGTGTTTTAGGCGGCATTTGGCAACGTGTAAGCGCCCCTATGCAGACCAACGACAGGATTGAAAGTGTCCGCTAGTGCCATCCAAGTTGGTCAAGCTTTCCCGGCACGTCAATCTGAGTTCATCCCTCTGTCGTTTTGGAAGTTTCTTTCGCGATGAGTACCGAATTAAGAAAAGAACAACACCACGTTATTCGTTATTGTTTTCGTCGAGGAATGTCAGTAAAAAACACTTTTAATGAAATGAAAGGCGTGTATAAAGACGACTGTTTGGACAGAAGTAGCATTGGTCGTTGATTTAAATCTTTTTCTGGCGGCCGCGAATCGGCGGAAAGTCCCGCGAATCCGGGCCGACCGTCTACCTGCACCACAGACGAATTAATCGGTACCGTTGCTGCTATTGTTCGAGGAGACCGTCATTTATCCTTGCGTAAGTTTCAGGTGTTGCTTGACATCTCAAAAAGTTCATTGCACCGGATCTTAAAGGACCACCTGCAGATGCGTCGTGTCTGTTCGTCCTAGGGTTCGTCCGTAAAAAATGTTGAAAATCTCGTAGGCGGCACCTTGACACGTCATTTTCAAAATGCTGTATCTCGGTCAAATTTTAAGCTACAGAGCTCAACTTGGTCTTGTTTTATAGGTAATTACTAGGACTATAACCTCACACAAACCGCATTTTGATATCTGCATTCTTTCGCCCTCTGCGGAAAAAGGGGCAGTACTTTTGGGACACCCTATGTATTAAGAGCCACTGAAGCCGGATTTGACTTATACTTATCTCTGACAACTCCCCGTTTTCGAGGAGGCTCAATTTTTCCCGAAAAATAGCTTTTCCGGACTAGCTTTCTCACTTCCAGGGAAATTCAAAAACTTTTTCGCGAGTGAAATACAACATTTCTCGTAAAATTTGAGCTGAAAATCCCGAATACGGCCTCAAAAATTCTTTTTTTTTTTCGTTTTGTTGGGAAAACCGAATTTCTTGGAAAATTACAGAAAAGCTCGTTCTCAGAAAGAAATTGACGTTTCCGGCGAAACGGAAGGTGATGAAAGAAACCGAGGTCATATTCGAACTTAGCAGTTTTAAATACGTATGAATCACTCTACCACGGGTCCAGGAAAATTTATAAAAATGAATTGCATGCATGATAAATATACGTCAAATTTGCTCATTTCCCCGGGAAATAGTCGTTTTTCCGAAAAACTGAGAGATGATAGGGAAAAATGAAAGCAATTTACAGACTCACGGGCTCAAAACACGTCGGATTAGTCCGAGAAAAATCCGAGGAAAAATTTCCCTGATTGAAAAAAACGTTGATCATATTCAGATTCAGCGCCTTAAATTACATAGGATTCACTCTATCCGTCCGAGAGAATTTTTTATCATTTTTTCATTCATCATTTCAGAGATAAAGACAAAGATTCATGGATGAAATGCGCATTAGCTTCGGCTTCAAATGAAAGTCATTCACATGTGCGATGGGAAAATTCCGAGTAATAACAATGGTGTTGGGTCCACACTTTTTTCCGCGGTGAACAAGACCAGAAAGTTCGAAGTGATGTAAATTGAATACCAGTCCATTTTCGAATCACGAATCGACTCGTCGTTACAGAAATAAAGACAAAGATGCATATATGAAATACGCATTTGCTTCGGCTTCAAATGAATTTCATTCACATTTGCGATGAGAAAATTCCGAGTAATGGAGATGGTGCTGGGTCCACACTATTTTGCGCGGTGAACAAGACCAGAAAGTTCAAAGTGATGTCAATTGAATACCAGTCCATTTTCGAATCACGAATAGACTCGTCGTCACAGAAATAAAGACAAGGATGCATTTATGAAATACGCATTTGCTTCGGCTTCAAATGAATTTCATTCGCATGTGCGATGAAAAAATTCCGAGTAATGGAAATTGTGCGCGGGGCGCGCGCGCTATTATGCGCGGTGAACAATGCCAGAAACTTCAAAGTGATGTGCATGGGATCCCCTTTTTTTCTGGACTTTTTCATCGATAATAAGCATTCTATAGAAAAATGTCCACAGTCACGTGTATTCTTCATCCTGTGATCGCGGTGATGGCATAAATTGACTGTTATAATCTACCCGTCTCGAATCGCAATTCATCGATCTACAACCTTCGCCTTCTCTTTTGAGTTTGATTAGCTAGTTTATAGGAAACGAAAAGCATATTGAAAACACTGTTACAGTCTTCGTCCAGAGAAGATACATTTTTTTTAATAAATCTTCCAAAATTAAAAGGTTGATGCTCCGCACAACATTCGTCTTATAAGGACTATTGAATTTCTGGGTGGGGCTATGAAACTGTTATATTTATTTTTTTTTAAAATCTCGTAAAAACAGATTTACAATGTTGTTTTCTAAAATGTTCTAAAAATATTACCAAATATTATTTGAACATAATTGTTTCCGTGAAAAACCGGTCATTTTCGAATTATACTAATCGTTCCTATTACATGGTATTGAAATAAAATAATAGGGGAAAACGTTAAAATGAAACTAAAGCTCTAAATTAGTTACGATACAATGCAAGTCGAGCCACGTACTGTCGCGCCGAATATAAACAGGCATAAATTCATCGACGAGGGCTATCGGCTGATGGTATAGTCCAATGCCAAATTCTTCACCTACTAGTTTATGTAACCGGAAATGCTGAATACTCCCTGTTGATATTCATTTGACGCTGTAACTTTTACGCGCAATGGACCACTAGACAAGGTACAATTTTAAGGAATCTGATACATATTCCTTAACCAGAATTTTACGTATAACACGATTCGCGCAACGAAAATTACTGAAACCAACTCCTAACAAAGATTATTTTTTTATTTCACACTGGTTACGAGGAATTTGAACTGCCCGCTCACCGGAAACTCAAAGTTCTACTTGAGTCAAATCGCGCACTACAACGGTTTCAGCAAGCTCCTCAATCGAGCAATGTTCATTTCCCACCATGTGTTGTTCAAACTATAAGCAATTTGCTAAAGCTGAGCCAAAGCGTCAAGATCGAGGTTGCCAGGTTTTTATATAGCAGAGACTTTCATGATAACGTTTAGCGCACGATGTGAATCACGTAGAGCATAGAGTTCTCATGAGCGGATGGTTTGAATTCACGCATCAAGAATCATTAAATATCTTAGTAAAAAGTTGATTTTGGTAATTTTTGTTGTGCGCATCGTATTCTACGTGAAATTTTGGTTAAGAGGCAAAATCAGAATGCTGAAATTCGCACCTTGTCTAGTGGTCCACTAGATTGTTTTTCCGGAGATAGGCTAATGTAACCGGGTGTGCAGAGTACTCCTGGTAAATACTCACTTGATGCTGCAATCCCTGATTTTTACCTTTTTAACGATTCCCACGCGCGATTCAGACGATAAATAAATGCGATGTTTCCCAAACTGTAAACTTGAGATTTGTCACGGACATGAATTGGGACCAGAGAAAATAGGTATTACATATCCAAGCGGACGTAACTGACTTTGATTGCCTGTTGCAAACTTTTGCTGGAGCAAAAAGTAAGGGTCGTTTCCCTCAGTAAATATCTTAAAACCCACGATGAGTGCATTGGCAAAGTTTGAAATGCACTCCTAACTTCACAATGCGAAAGAAATTTGCGGTTTTTTGAGCTTCAAAAACGATACTACGATACAGGTGAACATTTCGTCAGAGGTGTCGTTTGATCCAATTACCCTTCCTGTGCACTAGGATACGACACAATATTCAACATAGCCGACGCCAATCCACCAAAACACATGTGCCGGGACGATGATTCTAACTTCTAACCACCTGGTAACAATCGTCGTGTTTACATTCACATTTTTCTCGCGTTGTTAGATATCCGCCTTGATTGACCGCTCGTGCTCTCCTCAGCTTGCGCGCGGAAGCTTATTCGGCCATGTTAAGCAGGGACTGAATGAAACGACTCCTCTGACAAAATGTTCACCTGTGCCATATCCTTTTTTGAAGCAGGAATCTTAAAAAAACGAAAATTTCTCACGCAGATAGTGAAGTTAGGAGTGCCTTTCAGAGTTTGCCGATGTGCTCATCGTGATTCTTGAGACATTTTCTATAAGGAACAACTCTTATTTTTGCTATAGCTAAAGTTTGCAACAGGCCCAGTCCCGCCGCCAATAAAGGGACGACGACTCGTCAAACTGATTTGGGTCATAGACGAGTATTACTTATAATACTGCCATGCTAAGGAAGAACGCCGTATGAACAGTCGAAAGTTGCCAAATTTCCGCGGATAAAATGTTCATTTTAGAGGAAACTTATGAATATTTTTTCTTGAAAATTTCAGGCACTTTAGATCGAATTATGAACAAAATTATCTGAGAAGTCGGCAGAAAAATATATTTCAAATTTTTTCTGAAAATTAGTGATTTGCCAGAGGAAATTTGGCAACGCCTGAAGGCTCATACGGCATTTTCCCTTAGCACGGATGAATACTCGTCCGCTGATTCTTCGAAAGTGCGTCTTTTAATTTGTATTCAAACCTCGCAAGACTGATAGAATTAGCTGTCACCACTATTTCTTTTTTCAGAGCGATCTAAACGCGCCTTAACTTTTGTCTTTCAGGATGTTCACCCACCAAGTAACCTCCAGCCTCAGGCAGGAGCTACGCACCTCTCAGACACACCCGATCAGCAACAGCTTGCCACCAGATCAGCACTCCAGGCAGTGGGAACTTTCGCGAAAACCTTGTCGAGAAAATTGACAGGTTTTCCCAGGAAGGGGAAGCGTTCAAAAAGCCGCGGCGGTAGCTTTGTATCCCGCAGCGGTAGCTTTGTATCTAGTGCTTCATTCGGTCGGCAAGATTCGTCGAGGGATGTTGGCTCGTCTTCGCGTAGAAATGGGGCAGTTTGGAGACCACCGAAACACGAGTTGTCTCATAGCGAAAAATACGGTCCGCCGGGTGGCTACAACAAACAGATGGTGCATTACGATAAGAATGATATTCCGTCACCCCGGACCCAGAGGCAATTGGAGAAAGGACCTTCGGAAGAGGAATTAAGGAAGCGGTTCGGACCGGAGGGTGGTTATCCAAGACCAATGGTCCAAGGACCTTCGGAAGAGGAATTAAGGAGGCGGTTCGGAACGGAGGGTGGTTATCCAAGACCAATGGTCAAATACGACGAAACGGGAAGCAAATAAATCGGTGCATTACTGTCGTGCACAGGAAAAACGCCGTATGAGTCTTTAGACGTTGCCAGATTTACTTCAATAAAAACCGAATTTCCTTGGAACATCGGAGCATTTTCCCTCAAAATTCTCGGATAATTTCGTCCGCAATCTTATCTAAAACATCGAAAAATTTCGAGGAGAAACATGAATGACTTTCCTCAAAAAGGCATGTTATTTGGAGAAATTTGGCAACCCTCGAATGTTCATACGGCGTCCTTCCTTAGCACGGTAGATCAGGAGATGCTTTGTTTAGGGATGTCGATACTTGAGGAAGTGTAGATGCCTGTCATGCCGTGCTAAGGAAAAACGCGGTATGAGCCTTCAGACGTTGCAGAGTTTCCCCTTAAAAATCACTAATTTTCAGGAAAATTTTTGAATGTTTATCTGCCAGATAATTTTGTTTGCAAAAACTTCAAAAAATTTCAGGGAAAAATATTCATAATTTTCCTCACAAATAAACATTTTATCGAAGGAAATTTGGCAACTCTGGAGTGTTCGAACGGCATTCTTCCTTGGCACGGCTGTATCGATACTTGCAGAAACAAGCCCGAGCGGGTTTCAAATCAAACCCGCCCTTATCTTCAAGTGTCAAAAATACTAGCCAACTACATAATATGTTCAAATAACCCGCAATTCATCATTTATCGAGCCAATGATTAGCGCCAAGCAGCGCCGTAAACCAATCGAAACTTTTAATCGCGTAGCACCAGTGGCGTGGCGTGCTTTGCGATCTATCGATATTTCCGCATTTGAAGCTGTGGTAAATAATCGATTATTAAGGTGTTCGCTGCGAACACCCTGTTTATCGATACTTTTCCATAGGTTTAAGTGGTCAATCAATCGATATATCGCAAAGCACGCCACGCCACTGTATCGATCGCACTGCGAAGCATCAGTTGGATTACATTTTGCAATAAGGAGCCATTATTTCTAGCCCATTTTAGTAACAACATACATGCCATTGGTTTCCCTATGCAGATAATGTGATTTCATGGGAGAGCCAGAGATAGTGGTTCCTTATTGCAAAATGTAATCCAGTTACTCTTCTCCGAAAGTATCGATAAAGTATTGACACCCCTATTTCATGACTGCAAGGAAACATTTGAAATATTTTAAGAATAAAATGATGCTACAAGAGGCATTGTGAAATCAAAAGGCACAAGTCGGGTTCTTCAGGAAAATGAGTTGTTAGCAACACTAAACTGTTCTTTTCAAGCTGAATCCAAATAAATGAAAATAATTGTAAGAAATAACAACTCAGAGGTAAAAAGGGGGTAAATTCATCCCCAAAAAAGTATTAACTAGACTGAGACTGAAAACTAAAAAAAAGCTGGAAAAAAAAACAAAACTAAAATTGAATTCATTTAGGTGAAGGTCTTCATTAAGAATCTATTTATGCAACCTTTCACATTATCTTCGTCCTGCTTCATAAAAATGACTGAGGTTACCCCTATGGAATTGTTAGGATCAACGAAGCCTGCATCTAAATGGAAATTTAAATAATGGAAACAATAGTTAGGATCAGAAGGAGCTCAAATCCATCTCTCCTTTGGGGTAGTTTTCGGAAAAGTATCGACTTTGACTTTTGAAATGTTTAGGTCTGATCATACTGGTCTTGAAACGTAATGTAGGCGTTAGATAAAAAAATTCATCGTGCCCATAAACCTTACGCAGTTTTTGCAGATATCTGAAAGTTAGAAGAGATGACTTTGTGCCCTTTAAATCCCTCATGCCTGATGTGTTCGTAACCGTCCTTTGAAGAAGTGCACCATGGGGGTCATGAAGTGCTAAGTGACGAAACCGAGGGTAAAGGGTGATGGTAAAGTCTCAGCCAGCGTCTGAAACGTAAATTAATTTTAAAGTTTTTAAATCTAAGTTTATAGTGTCTTAAAATTTAAATATGTATAGCTGCACCATTACTATGGAAATAGTCATCCGTACTCTTGCTGAATTTTTTCGATGCTATCGGAAATTAAAGGAGTTCCGCAGCCTTCGGACGTGATGATGCCATTTCCAACTTTTCAGTGGAGCATGTTATGGAAAATTCATCGCGTTTTCCAAGAAATCCAAGATTTCGGACAATATCTGAAATGCTATATCGGTTACCGTTCAATTGACTTTTATGACAGTATTGGTGCCAAGTGGTACAAAGCACCCGCATTTTCAGTCAGATTTTCAAAATTCAATAATGACGGGCACGACCTAAAATGCCATCTTAGCGCCTTCAAAATTTACCTTTCAATTGAGATATGTATTAATTTCAAAAATCAGTTGACCTATCAGCTAATTTGAACCTCAGTAATAAAGGGGCGCTCTTTTCATCACTTTTGTGTAGAAACTGCTTGTTTAGTTGTAGTTAGTTGAAGGTCTTTTGTTTGTTTTACTTTTTTTTTAAGAATGTTAATGTTCCTATTATTTAATATTTAGGTGCACCTAATATTTAAACAAATTGATAAGCATGATGAGTGTTTTACAAATTAGAATAATGTATTTATTTTAAGTGATCATACGTAGCTTTACTCGAACGACATCAAGTCATGGTTAGAGTCGTACAATTTTTCTATGTGCATGTTTACAAACCGTTCAATAAAAATGTTTTTAATTATTATTCTTGGATATTACAATACAGTTAGAAAATAAAAAATCAAAGGATACATGCGTACACCAAAACTTTTACCGGTATCCCACGAGACCTAATTGTGAAAACAATCCATATCCTACGGAGCTAGCATTCCCTCATTCCATGTCCAGCCACCGGTTGCTACCCTCTACACGCTCATGATCTGGCAAAATCATGAAGCAGAAGTGCAGGCCGGTTTTAGTGTCGACAGATCCACGATAGATCACGATCTCTCCAAAATAAGACGCGTTTACTAGTTTTGAACACATTTTTTGGGAAAGCCATGTCAACGCTACTGGCAAAAGTTCACGGAACTTCCTAGACAAGGCCTTCTACTCATAAGAAATGAACGAAACAATTATGAAAGAACAAACATAAATGTGGATTAATGATTTTAACTTCCGCCGCAGCGCCGCGCAGACCGCACCGTGTTTGGCGCAATGCGTGAAGTATTCTGACAGTCTTATAGGCGCTATGCGTTTCACGCTGATCGCACTGTGTTTGCCGCAATGCGTGAAGTATTCATGAATTCTTGTAGGCGCTATCCGTTTCACGCTGACCTCAAAAGCCGCACTGTGTTTGATGCAATGCGTGAAGTATTCGTGCAGTCTTGTAGGCGCTAATATGTATTACATGCCGATTGCCGCGCCGAGGGTTTCTCCTTTTCATCTCAAGTCCCCATCATCATTTCTCTCTAAGTCGCGCCATTCCAGGCCAAATTGCGTGCTTGGTTTCTCTCTTAACGTGACTAATTAAAGGTGCTGTCTCTTGTATCACTGAAAGACAACAAAATTAGAAATTACTATACGCTCAGGAAATCAGAGATTTTGTCGCCTTTTCTCGTTTGTAATTTTTTTTAAAATCCGATTTTTTATGCCTACATTTAAAAGAAATTGCAAAATTTGCCGCCACCATAGATTTGCCGCCCATGTGGCCACCCCCTTAATCCGGCCCTGCAAGGGTTACCGTTTAAAGTTATGGGACTAACCCAATTTCTTGGATGATATGGACATTTCCAATTACTTGCGGTAGTGCCGCAACATGTGGGTTAGTAACCTAATTTATTGGAGCACCACCACAATTTATTGAACTTAACCCCTACCTCTCTTTTTCCGTGTTGAGTGATTTTGAAAGTCTGTTTGGATCCTAACGTTATTCTTGGACGCAACGGCGAAAGCCTGGTGGATTTTCAGGATTACAGAGTTGTCATTAACCCCATTTTCTCACTATCTAAGTACTATACTTGAAACTTTTAAATGAAATTATATCTGCCGCGCTTTGATGAGCGTCAACCAGCGATCGGCCGACTTGGCGTCACTCATGCAGGAGGCGAAGTCTGTGAGGGACCTTGCGGTCCTCACCAGGAGCTGGATGTCGGCTTCATTCTGTCGCGCCACGTCCGGATACTCCAAGAACAGCACCCGCCTGCACCCCCGGTCGACTATCAGTTCTGCCACCTGAGCGTCACCGCCCTCTAGCCCTGACCTGTAGAGTTTCACCCCAAGGACGATCGCTCTCGCGTTGCCTTTCGATCTTTCCGCCAGGGTGTTCAACAAGCCGCCTGTCGTCGCGGTGGCGTAGCGCTTGCCGAAAGCGTCCAACACCTGAAAGGTGGAGATGAAAGAGAGAAAAGAAAGAGAGTATGCATAGTGCCTCTCGCAAAATACGAGGTGATCCAAAGTTAAACAGCCAGACTGCAGGAGCTGGAACACCCCCGACCTCGAGGGGGTTAAATTAATAGCGATTTCGATTTTTTCTGGATCGTTTATGAAGTCAGGGCATAAAATTGTAGGAGAATAGAAATGTTCGCGAGATTTGGTTCACAACCGTTGCAAAATTCAGGAAAAACAATTTTTCCCCGAAACGGGGGGAGGGGGGGAGGAGGCGTATCTCCGACTAGAAGCACTTTTGGAAAAAACTTTATACTTTGACCCATATAACACGCTCCTGCAGCCGACCTGCAGTCCGGCCGTTTAACCCTGGATCATCTTGTATACTCCTAGCCTACTCTTCATTGCGGGATATGAATTCGATCGAACGAAGGATACGTGAATCGATTAACATGGATCGATTGGCACCGATTTGATCGACAAATCATTAAAAAACTGGTATCGATTCGATCGAAATGTTAAAACTTTGAACCAATCGAACCATTCGATCGACACCGATTCAATAATCGTGGATCGATCGATAAACCCGTGAATCTATTGACAAATTCGTTAGTCGATCGAAAACTCCGTGAATAATTCGAAAAACCCGTGAATCGATCGACAAACCCGTGAATCGATCGAAAAAACCCCGTGAGTCGATCGACAAACTCGTGAATCGATCGACAAACCCATGAGTCGATCGAAAAACTCGCGAATCGATCGAATCTGTATCGACCGAATCACGTCGAGCTGTTCAAGTTTTAGCTTTTCGAACAATTCATATCGATCGAATCGACCCCGGTCTCTTTAATGGTCTGTCGATCGAATCGGTGTCCATCGATTCAAATTTGTATCATCTTTCGATCGATTCATATTGATCGAATTTATTATCTCTCTTATTTCATCCAGCCTTCGGTCCGCTGTAGAACAATGTATGAGTGGTCTAACTGGCCTAGACTACCCCTCTTGATAGCTCATCAATTGATGCGAGGATGGGAGAATACTTATACTCTCATAATGCATGTTGCGGATTTTAGGTCTCTTTTGTTTTTCTACTCGTAGCTACAATTTTAATTCGGTAACGTTGTAAGTTCTATCAGAAAGGTAATTTGGACCCAAAATGCG